AGTTGATACTAGGCCCCAAGGGAAAGAAGAGCCTTTGAAAGCCACCTCTTCATGATACTAGGCAAACCCTACCCACTTACCGAGTAAACAGTAAGGAAACTTGCTTTGCTCAGGGCTCCTACAAGAAACAGAAGCCCAAAGTCTGCACCATGCTCATGCACAGATGAAGAATTTATGCTATCTGATGGGACACCTCACCTGGGTGTCTCAGTCAGTTAAGTTGCCAACTCTTGATTTTGGCTCAGGTCATGATCTCAGGATCCTGGGATTGAGCCCCACATCAGGCTCCCCAGTCAGCAAGGAGTCTGCTTGAGGATTCTCTCTCTCCCTCTCCCGAGGCCCCTCTCCCCACTCATGCACTCCCTTTCTCTCAAAAAAAAAAAAAAAAAAAAAAAAAAAAAAACTACTGCACTAATAAGAGAGTTTGGCAAGGTTGTGGAATACAAACCCAATATGAAGACTACACAAAGGGCCTACAATACAGTGATGAACAATTAAAAAGTACAATTTTTATAAAATAACCAATTCATAATAGCTTCCAAAATGAGACTAATAGGAATAAATCTAGCCAAAGATCCAATGCATTTTTATAGGACACATCTAAAGCTTTATTGTAAACAAAACATTTACTAATATAAAATAACTGAAGCACTGGGGTGGGTGGGTGACTCAGTCAGTTAAGCATCCAACTGTTGATTTTGGCTCAGGTCATGATCCTCATGATTGTGGAATCAAGCCCCATCGGGCTCTATGCTCAGCATGGAGTCTGCTTGAGATTCTCTTTCTTCCTCTCCCCCTGCCACTCACCCTGCTCACTCTCTCAAAATAAATACATAAAATCTTTTTTAAAAATTAAAAAAAAAAAACTGAAGCACTTAGTAAGACAGAAATGAAGGGATATTAAACATTTATGAGTAAGAGGTGTGTATATACACCTATATATTCATTTCAACTTGAAATCACCTATAAAATTATTGCAATTCTAATCAAAACACTAACTCAACAAGCTGATCCTAAAATTCATATGGAAGAAGGGAAAGATGAGATTCAGGAATAGCCAAAATAATTTTGAAGAAAATGAAGAAGGGGTTGGGGGCCACCCTACCACATATCAAAACTTTTTTATAAAGTTTTTTAATTTTAAGAATTAAAGCAATATTGTTATAATAACAACCTACCCAGACCAAGGGAACAAAATATATAAATCAGAAACAAATGCAAGTTTTAAAATTTTTTCAATCCAAGAGAATACAATATATGATAGAGGTGATAACATAAATCAGTCTGAGAACACTTGGTTGGCAATGTAGGGGGACAAAAACTAGATCCACAACACACACTATACACAAAAATAAATTCCAGATGAATTAAAGGCCTAAATGTGATAAAATTTGAAAACTCATAAACTATTTTAAAGATCTTTATTATTGAAGTAGAGAATTTCTTGTAGAGACACAAAAAAACTGAAAAGAAAAATATGACAAATTTCAGTCTATGAAAATAAAAATGTGTATCAAATTCTTCTGTGTATTTTGCAAAGGTGAGAAGGCTTCAGGCTGGAAGGAAATATTGTAAAATACAGATAGATAGATAAGTATAGACAGAACCCCACATATGCCAACCTGAAAGACAAATCCAATGAAAAAAATGGTCAACAGTATGAATAGGCAATTCTGTAGAACTGAAAATGGCCAATAGAAAATATGTTCAATTACACTAGTAATCAAGGCATCTGTGTAAGATAAGCTATAATTTAAATACCTCAGATGGGCAAAAATTCAAACTTTAAAAATATTAAGACTTAGCAAGGTTGTAAGGGCATGGAACAACCGTTTTATACATTGCAAGGGAGAATGTGAACTGGTATAATCACTTTAAAAATATAAAGATGAGGAATGCTAAACCCAAGCCATTCCATTTGTAGGTATAATCTCTAGAAACACTCTCACAAATGTGCCCAAAGAGACATGTACATAGAAATTCAATGCTGTGGTGTTTAAAGTGATGTAAAATTAGAAATAACCAAAAGGCCCACTGATGGATCAATACACTATAGTATAGAAATACAGTGGAATACTCAAAAACAGCTAAAGTGAACGAATACATAAATCTCAAAACCATATGTCAAGCAGGAAATAAAAGCAGCAAAAGTATATACTTTCTCCACATTTTAAAAACCCAAAAAGAATAATTTTACATTGCTATGGGCATATGCATACATATAAAAAGGGTGGGGTTTTTTTTAAGTGCATGGGGATGATATATATCAAAGATCAAAGACTACCTCTAGGCAGTCTTTTTCTAGGGAGGAATGGTGGGAAAAGCATGCGATGGGATGTGGGTGGGGAAGGGTGGCAATTTAACAACAAAGAAAATCTGAAGCAAACATGACAAAATGTTACTATTTGTTAAAGCTAGGTGGAGGATACAAAGGAGTTTATATTTTTTCTGTCCTTCTGGTATATCTAAAATATTTCGTAATTTAAACATTTTATGTAGAACAAAGTCTGGCAGTATGCATGGTGTGCATGTCTTAAAAGGCCTATCCTATAAAACAAGGATAGAAGCTAAAAAAGGAGATTTTTTTTTTTTAAGATTTTATTTATTTACTTGACAGAGAGAGAGAGATCACAAGTAGGCAGAGAGGCAGGCAGAGAAAGAGGGGGAAGGAGGTTCCCCGCGGAGGAGGGAGCCTGATGCGGGGCTCAATCCCAGGACCCTGAGATCATAACCTGAGCCAAAGGCAGAGGTTTAACCCACTGAGCCACCCAGGCACCCCAAGATGTTTGTTTTTAATGGGAAAAAAAATTCAAAAACAGAATTAAATAAATCGCAGAATAGCCATACAATCAAATGTCATGTAACCACAAAGAAATTACAGCTCAGAAGGATAGTTATTAACTTGGAAAGATGTTGACAACGTATCAAGTCAGGGGAAATGGAGTATCAAAGTACAGGTTTTCAACTCAGGCAGGAAACGGTTAAACAAACCTCTTTTATGCACTAACGGGTCAAAGCTCCTTTAAATGCACTTGGCTTTTAATCTCTTATGAACATGCATCCATGGAAAGAAATTAACTACAAGCAGTCTAATGATAATAAAGAATACAACAGATTAATTCTATCTAGTGTATCAAACAAGAAAGCTATTGCTATAATACTGATACAGAAAGCTCCATTCAAAGCCAAAAACAATTATTTCCCAATGTTAGTGCCAACACTCCCCCCAGCTTTCCAGATTAGACCTGCTCCATTTAACCACCTGGTTAGAGAGCTAGCACAGAAGTGTAAGCAGCTGATCCTATATACCAAAGAGCCAGATAAAATATAATACATTATATGCAAAATAAAATGTCAGGTTTCAGTGAAATCCAAAGCTATCATCACAAACTGATGTCATACTTATAAGCAGAATCAGTGGCAGCAAGAAGTTCCTGAAGGAATTTTGAGAGAGAATAAAATGTCCTGCTACATTTATACCCTCTGATAAACCGGAGATTGACTTGGGTACTCAAAAACCTGTGCTCTGTATTTTGTTCACTAAAAGTTGCCCAACAGTCTAAGAATCCCAATAGATTGAATTTTATGAAAAGTGCAGTAGCCTACTAAGGCAACACTGCTTCCCCTACTCACAACACTTCTGACACCAAATATGTGTGGGGGTTCCGTACGCCAACCAATCCTCCAACTGTCCAGACACCCAGTGGGTGTTCTACAATTAGTTCTGATACTACGTACCTGCAGGAAGGGCAGACCGCACAGATCAAGGGCTGAGTCCCACAAGACAGATTCCCACTTCAGACACCAATTGCAAGCTGTGGGTACCCATTTTACTCACACTTCTGTCCAACTGAGCTACAAATCAGGGGTTCCCCATCACCACCTCCTCATGTTCAATCATTTGCTATAGAAGCTCACAGAACTCATGGGAACACGTTTAGCAGATTATAAAGGACATTATAAAGGATATAAATGAACAACCTAAGGAAGACGTACATAGCGCGAGTCCAGAGGATTCCTAGGCACAGGAGCTTCTGTCCCGAAGAGAGCTGGACTGGGCCAACTCTCCTCGCACATGGATGTGTTCACCAACCTGGATGGTCACTGAATCCCAGAGTTTAGAAATTGTTACAGAGGTTTCATCACATAGGCATGACTGGTTAGTAACTCAATTTCCAGCCCCTCTACCTACCCTAGAGGTTGAGGGGTGGAGTGGGACATGTGGGGAGAAGCTGAAAGTTCTAACCCTCTGACCACAAGGTTGGTTCCTCTGGCACCCAGTTGCCCTCCTAAGGGCCCATCAAGAGTCACTAATTAGCATACAAAAAGACACTCATTAGTTCCAGAAATTCCAACGGTCTTAGAAGCTCTAAGCTTCTTTTTTATTTTTTTTTTTAAAGATTTTTGCTTATTTATTTGACAGACAGAGATCACAAGTAGACAGAGAGGCAGGCGGGGGGGGGGGGGGGGGGGGGGGGGGGGGGGGCGCGGGGGGCGGGGGGGAGCAGGCTCCCCGCTGAGCAGAGAGTCTGATGCGAGGCTCAATCCCAGGACCCTGGGATCATGACAGGAGCTGAAGGCAGAGGCTTGGAGCCGCCCAGGCGCCCCTGAAGCTCTAAGCTTCTAAGCTCTGTTTTCTCTGGAAACAGAGACTAAGACCAAATATGATAACCTAAAAAATGCTCCTATCATACCTGTTACTCAGGAAATTACAAAAGTTTTAAAAGCACATGATTTCTTATTATTTCATATCAAATATAAAATAAAGGATAGGAAGTTAGAACTCTTTTTCTCTTACCATTTAAGTAATCTCTAACCCCAATGTGGGGCTCAAACTCATGACCCCAAGATCAAGAGTCACATGCTCTTCTAACTGAGCCAGACAGGAGCCCCAAAGTTAAAACTCTTAAGGAAAAATATTTTCATTATTATTCCTTTACTAGGAAAGTCCTTGTATTCTTTATACATTGATGAAGTATTATTGAGACTGCTAAGGCCAGCAAATATAAACTGCTTTTATTGTGCAAAAATTAAGAATGGCTCAGGTTATATAATGGTAGCTGATGTAAATGTACTAAATCTCAGCTTCTGGAAGAGTTGATTTTGAACTCAATCACCCTTTAAGAGAAGACATACCAGCTCGCATAATTTCATCAACCAGGAGAATGTTGGTGGCAATCACCGTGCTGAGGAAAAAGATAACAGGGTAAGTAAAGCCTACCAACCCGCTCTCATCTTCCCCCCCAGCAATCTTCAGCTACTAAAAGTACTTTGTTCTTTAATGTTTTGGTCTGAGAAATTACCAGACGAAGTTATTGTAAATACAAACATCACCCTTGTATTATAATTTCAGATCCTCAGCTGATAAAACAAAAGTTTGACTTTATGTACCAGCAAAACTGAGCTCACTTTTAGCACATCATTTGCTTTTCCCCCTGCTAGACGTGTAGTAAAATTTCAGTAAACTTCTTCTTTCCCTTCCCCCTCAAATAAACAGTAAGGGAAACATTTCTAAATCTGACACTGCTAGAATTAAAATGGACAAAGGACTGTAAAATGACAGAAGCTAGTGTTAGTAACTGGATACTACACCTTTTCATACACTTAACCATTTTTCACTATAGGGTGGCAAAAACAATAAACAAGTTTTAGTATATGTGCTGCTGAAACCAGCACAATAAACAAATTTTAAAGTTACTGATTATGTCTCTAAAAGTCTTTCTCTTTTTACTAATATGAATTTACCAAGAATGAAGAAGTTGTTTTTTCACACAGTAATTATCCCAAACTCCTGCATCTGCCGCTACCATGGGCTCACCTGCAAAGTAAAAACAAACTATTTTAACACTACAATCTTGATATATTCTGTTAATACTGGTTATATATTCTAACAGTGTTTAATATACCACCAGAACTACTAGTGTCCAGGTCACAATGACCTCCACGTTATCAAATCCAACCCAGTGGTCAGTTCTCAAGCCTTGTGGATCAGCAACACTTAACACAGCCTCCCGACTACTCTAGCTTCACTTGTCTTCCAGGACACCACACTCAGCCTGGTTTTTTCTTTTACATTAGTGACTCCTTTTCTGTTGACTTTCCTGGTTCTTCCTCATCTTCCCAGAGCTCTTAATTTTAGAGTAGCCAGTGACTTAGTCCTGGGTTCTTTTCTTCTCTCTCTATACTCACTCCCCAAGTATTCTCACCAAGTCTTCTGGATTTAAACCATATACACTCCAAAGACTCTCATTTTTATCTCCAACCCAGAGCTCTTTCTTGAGCTCCAGACTCATACTTCCAACTATTTCACTGGAAAGTCTAAGACACTTTGATTTTAACTTTGCCAAAACTCAGTGCTGGCCTCCTCCCCCAAAGCTGCTCTACCCACAGTTCTCCAATGTGGTTAATGGCCATTCCAACCTTCTAGTTGTTCAGCAGATTCCTCTCCACAGAATAACCAGAATAATCCTTTTAAATGTAATTAGGCCAGGGGCGCCTGGGTGGCTCAGTGGGTTAAAGCCTCTGCCTTCGGCTCAGGTCATGATCCCAGGTTCCTGGGATCGAGCCCCGCATCAGGGCTCGATCTGCCTGCCTCTCTGCCTACTTGTGATCTCTGTCCATCAAATAAATAAATAAAATCTTTTTAAAAATAAATAAATAAAAAATAAATGTAATTAGGCCACATCACAGCTCTGCCAAAAATTACTCCCTCTTCCACTGCAGTAAAAGTCAAAGTCCTTGGACTGGCCCCCACACCCTGCATGATCTCTCTGTTACTTCTCTAATCTCCTTCCTCCTCTTCAAAAACTTCAGACACTGGCCTTGCCATTGGCTGCTCCTTCTGCCCAGGATACTTTCTTCAGTTCCCAAACATGGCTACTTCCTTACTTCCTTTGATTATTTTCTACAGACATATTCTTAATGAGGTCTACCCTGCTCACCCTCTCTCTTTAAATTGTGACCTCCCCCTCATGCTAGCATTCATAGTCTTCCTTATAGGGTCCTTTTATTTTTTTCATTGTATTTATTACTCCTTAAATGCTCAGGGAACTTATTTATTAAGCTTATTATTTATTTTTTTAAGATTTTTATTTATTTATTTGACAGAGATCACAAGTAGACAGAGAGGCAGGCAGAGAGAGAGAGAGGAGGAAGCAGGCTCCCCGCTTGAGCAGAGAGCCCAATGCGGGGCTCGATCCCAGGACCCTGAGATCATGACCTGAGCCGAAGGCAGAGACTTTAACCCACTGAGCCACCCAGGCGCCCCTAAGCTATTTATTTAGTGCCTATCCTTCCCTGCTATAATATAAGCTTAGAAGGGCAGGGGGTTTTGTCTCTTTTGTTCTTGGTCAATCTCAAGAGTCAAATAACAAGCACTCAAAAACTTTTTCTTAAAAGAATGTTTTCTTTCAAGAAGTTCAAAAGTAAATTAAAGGCACCCAAATTTTAAATATTGAAGTCACCCGAATCTCCAATCCCTCACTATAAGTTCTAGGTCACTGTAGTATGACCTCTTTCTTTACTGAGCAGCTAATTTTTCTTCACTTTCTTACCTGTATCCAGATCTATACCAACAGGTTGTTTTGATTCAGAATGTTCAGCCTGAACTTTTACCAGTGTTTCCTGCAGGTCAAAACCAGAATTCTGAGCAAGAACCTTTAAGAATAAAAAAAATATATGTGTGTGAATTATCTTCACATATATATTTGAGTATCAAATATAAAAAGTGAGGTTCTGCCCTCTAATCTTGTGAAAACATATTCATAATACAGTAATCATTTCCTTTCAAAGAATTCCATTCTTAATCAAATTATTATTTCATGTATCTAGCAGTTTTTATATTTACATAAACATCTTCCCTATGTGTATTACACTAAATTCTGAGGACATTACAGCCCCTCATCCCCCACCCCATATTAATTTCCCTCCTTGCAAAGGATTTCTTAAAAAATGGATGGGGGGGTACCTGGGTGGCTCAGTAGGTTAAGCATCTGCCTTCGGCTCAGGTTATGATCTCAGGGTCTTGGGATCAAGCCTCTCCTCCCTGCTTATGCATTCACGCTTATGCACGCACGCTCTCTCTCTCTCTCTCTCTCTCTCGTGCTCTCTCAAATAAGTAAAATCTTTACAAAATAATAATAATAAATGGAAAATTAGTAGAATGGTATTATTTCTTCTTGTTCCTTGAGCCACACATTTTCTAGCTTTTCCTAGGCACCTGCTAAAGGAACCCTCCATATTTTCAGGATCTTTATGTCCTCATCAACATGAGGACAGTCATGACCTGTGGCAACAGGAATGGAGACAAAAGCACTCTAAACCTGGTTTATTTCCAAGTAGAACCAAACCACCACTATATACCAGGCTTACCGGTTTGTGCCAACTACTGGACCATCACTTACTGACTTTGCTGTTTTGGGCAAAGATAAAACAGATATCCAATTCTCAAAGATTCCACAAATTATGAATAATTTTAAAGCAATTAACAAAAAGATTTTGCTAGCACTGTTCTTAATCTTTTACTTCATGGTAATAACACCTTTGACATGGTATTCTCTGTTTCTAAGTGGTTCACAACCAGATTAAGGCAAAGGAAAAGGAATGGTAATTCTCTGTCCTTCTTTCAACACATGGAATATCTGGTTTCTCTCCTTTTCTAGGTATTAAAATGAAAATGACAAAAGCACGCTTATATTTGGCAGTGCTAAACAGCCTGAAGGTCTCGCTTCCCACAATTTAAAGTGATGCTAACACTTTGGATACCACCACCAAGATAAAATTCTACCCTAAAGTCTAGTTAAATTTTAAGTTCTAAACTTTCTCATTATGATTAATCATGAACCATTTTTGAAGGAAATTTCTGGACTTACTTCAAATTTCGCACTCAGAGATAGGCAAAGGGCAATTTAGTGATTTCATGAAACTTTGACAAGGATTCCAAGCTATTATCCAAGTTTCCCTGCTTAACTGTAACGTATCTTAAACAAAAGTGCCTGGGGAAATGCAAATAAAAACTGTCTCTCTTACTCTCACAAAACAAAGCGAGGTTTGCTGGCGGGGAGAGGGGTAGGAGAGGATGGTTGAGTTATGGCCACTGGGGAGGGTATGTGATATGGTGAGTGCTGTGAAGTGTGTGTGTAAGCCTGACGATGCACAGACCTGTACCCCTGGAGCAAATAATACATTATATGTAAATTTAAAAAACTGTCTTTCTACTCTGGTGTTAGATAATGTGGACAATTTACAATCCCACACCCTTATGTCTAACCACTTGTTCTTTGGCCATTAGGATAGTTGTACCTTAGGAATAATGAGCAAGGCATCAGCAAAAGCTTGGACCCCAAGACGAGCTCTTCCTTTTATACTGTGCTTGTAATTAACAAGGGCTTCCGCTATTGCCACTTCAACGGCACCTGCTCCTGGAACTACACAGCCTGTTGGAGGGAAAAGATTGGCAAGGCATGCTGGACAGAAACGCCAGAGAAAAAAGCACTTAGCTATTCCAGTGTGTTCAAATTATACCGCCGACACCTAAAATATACCTAAATACATACGGAAATAAAGTAAGTTGCATAGTTCAGTGGTTACTCAGCTGCCTTATGAAGCATCCTGAAGTTACACACCATTAAATAATTAGGCATATGGTACAGACAACTGGCTGCAAGCAGCTTACTTCATTCTCTGTTAAGAGTAGACATTTCTTCCATCTTCATCTTATTCTTTATGACTATATTTAAAAGGTAGTTATTTATAATTTGGGGGACAGGAAACTAATTGTAGTATCTGATTTGAAATAAAATTAAAAAAAAAAAAAAAACTTTAGGCCAAGATAATTTCGTCACCATTTTGGTATAGAAATCTTGAGACTTATGATAGTATTTGTTTTCTATACTGAAGCAAAACCCAAACAGCTACCTGAGGGAAAAATACAGGTGTTCTTATTACTCTAAGGTAAAAGCTCTGGTTAAAAACATCAATTTTCACAACAGGACATGACTTTTATACCTGCTGATATGGTTTTCATAAAGTTTATGACTCTCCTTGAATCAACAAATTTGCCTTAGAATCACCCATCTTTAAAACAGAACAACACAAAAAGAATCTCTCCTTTATCCCACATTATTTTTTAATTACTTGCCCCCTCCTCTGCTTCCCTGTACAACATAACTGCTCAAAAGAGTCATCTATCGGGGCGCCTGGGTGGCTCAGTGGGTTAAGCCACTGCCTTCGGCTCAGGTCATGATCTCAGGATCCTGGGATCGGGTCCCGCATCGGGCTCTCTGCTCGGCAGGGTGTCTGCTTCCCCCATCTCTCTGTCTGCCCCTCTGCCTACTTGTGGTCTCTGTCTGTCAAATAAATAAATAAAATCTTTAAAAAAAAAAAAAAAAGAGTCGTCTATCCACTTGGTGACCATATCCTTGCCACCCATTCACATTTTTAAAAAGTTCCTTGTGATATAACACTGTATGTTAATTATACCAGAATTAAAAAGTAATTTAAAAAAAATTTTCAAGTTCTTGTGAAATACTGAATATACACAGAAGGATATTTATATGTATAAGGTATAAAGAATAAATGTGGAAATAAATGTACTCATGTACCTCCCACCCACCTTAAGAAATAGAACATTAGAGAACATTACCAGTAGCTGTAAAAACTTCCCTGGTCCCATTCTGCGAAAACACATAAAATTTGTGGGATGTTACTAAAGCAACACCTAAAAAGAAACTTGTATCACTAAACACCTACATTAGAAAAGAAAAGTCTCAAACCAATGACTTCAGCCTCCCCGCCCCAAGAACTAGAAAAGAGCAAATGAAACTTAATGTAAACAGAAGAAAATAATAAAAATTGGAGCGGAAATCAATGAAATAAACATGAACAGTGTCAAAAACGGGAACAATGTCAGAAATGAAAAACGTAATTATAACTATAGGTTCCACAGACATTAAAAGTACAATAGTAAGGGAATATTATGAACAACTTATGCAAATCAATTTGAAAACTTAAATCAGGGATTAGCAAATTTTCTGCAAAACACCACATTTAAATGTTTTAGACTCTGTTGGCCATGCCATCACCTTTGTAACTATTCAACCCTGCCACTGTAGCACAAAAGAGGCACAGGTAATACCTGAATGAATGGGTATATCTGTATCCCCATAAACTTTATTTACCAAAAACAGGCAGCAAACAGGATCTAGCTCATGGGCAACAGTTTGATGATCTCAACAGACGAAACAGACAAATTTCTTGAATGACACAAACTCAAAAAAAAAAGTAAAAAGTATCTATTAAAAAGACTGATTATAGCTTAAATTTTTCTCATGAAAAAAACTGCAGGCCCAGATGGCTTTACTGGTAAACTCTACCAAACATTTAAGAAAGAAGTAATACAATTCTACACAAGAATTCAACACTTTCAGAAAATTAAAAAGGAAAGAATGTTTTCTAACTCATTCTTGAGGCCAGCATTATTCTAACAGCAAAAAAGATAAAGGCATTATAAGCAAAAATATATATATAAATACCCCTTATGAATATAAATATAAAAATTCTTTTAGTATTTTAGCAAATCAAGTCCAACAGTATATAGAAAGGACAATACACATATCAGCATTACTCACAACAGCCAAAAGGTGAAGTGATCTAAGTTTCCATCAATGGATAAATGGATAAGTAACGGGCTGTGTGTGTGTGTGTGTGTGTGTATACATGCCCCTCACAAGGAACTTTTTAAAAATGTGAATGGGTGGCAAAGATGCAGTCACCAAGTTGATAGATAGATAGATGCTAATATTCTGTCCTAATCTCAGATATATATGAATATATATATGTATATATATATTCATATATATATAAAGTGCAGTGTTATTCAGCCTTAAAAAGCAAGGACATTCTGACATATACCACAACACGGATGAACCCTGAAGACATTATGCTAAGTGAAATAAGCCAGTCACAAAAGGCCAAATACTGGATGATTCCACTCAAACAAGTTACATAGAATAGTCAATTTCACAGACACCGTAATTAGAAGAGTGGTTTCCAGGAGATGGGAGGAGAGGGGAATGGAGAATTATTGTTTAATGGCTATGGATTTTAGGTATTATAAGATGAAAAATGTTCTATTGATGGATGATGGTGATGGTTGCACAACAACATGAAAGAATGTAACTTATTGCCACTGAATTGTAACATTTAAAAATAATTAAAATAACAAATTATATACATATATATCCAAATTTTTAAAAAATAATTTAAAAACTGTAATCTACATTTAAAGAGGATAATATATCATAAGTAAGTAGGGTTTAACTCAAGAACGTAAGGTTGGTTGAATGTTTAAAAATTAATGTAATTTACCACATTAATAATCTAACAGAGAAGAAACATATAATCACCTCAATAGATCACCGGAAAAGCAACTGGCAAAATCGAACATCATTCGTGATAAAAACTCTCAGCAAGAGAACTTCCTCAATCTGACAGAGGACTTCTAGAAAAATCTACAGCTAAATATCATACATAATAGAGAAAGGCTAAATGTTTTCCCAGTATGATCAGGAGCAAGGAAAGGATGCCCACTCTCACCATTTCCATTCAACAATGTATTGAAGTTTCTAGCCCATGGAATAAAAGGAAAAAAGAAATAAAAGATATCCAGATTAGAAAGGAAGAAGTAAAATTGTCTTTATTAGCAGACAACATGATCATTTATACCACTTATATAGATAAGTCAGTGTAATCTCTAAGAAAGCTACAAGAATGAGTGAGTTTAACAAGGTTGCAGAATTTAAGATCAATATACAAAAATCAAATGTATTTCTATATCTTAAAATCAGAAATGGAAATTTTAAAAACATCATGTGCCAAAGGATCAAAATTCATGAACTACATAAATCTGAAAAAGATATGCCACTAAAAATTACAAAATATAGCTGAAATAAATATATATATATATATTGCTGAGATAGAGTCAAGAAGGCTCAAATAAATAAATATACCATGACTCAATATTAAGATACCAATTATTCCCAGAATGTTCTACAGATTCAATGAAATTCCAATCAAAATCTCAAGTCTTTTTGGTAGAAACTGACATGCTAATTCTAAAATTCATATGAAGATGCAAAAGATTTTAAATAACAAAAATAACTTGAAAAAGAACAAAATGGGAGGACTGACGCTGCTGATTTCAAGACTTATCATAAAGTTACAGTAAACAGGACAGTATATTAACACTGAGATAGACAAACAGATCAATGGAAGAGAATAAGAACACAGAAATAGAACCACACAAATACGGACAATTGATTTTCAATGAAAAGTTTCAAAGGCAACTCAACTCACTGGAAAAAGAAAAATCTTTTCAACAAATGCAGCCAGAACAACTTGATCAAAGAATATTAAGGTATACCATAGGTATATACCTAAAAGTTGATTTGTTGGGTCATCTAGTAACTGTGTTTAACTTTGTAAGGAACTCCCTACTATTTTCCAGCAGTTCCCACCAACAATGTTGAGGGCTCTAATTTCTCCATATCCTTGCCAACATTTACTGTTGTCCAGGTTTTTGATTTATAGCCATCATAACAGTTGTAAAACAGTATCTCTTCATGGTTTTGATTTTCATTTTCCTAACGATTAATTATGTTGAGCATCTTTTCATGTGCTTATTATTCTATTTTAAATGGAGTTAGTTTATAAAGTATCAGTAAATAATACATGCTAATATTCTTTCCTAATTTTTCTGAAAATTACACTGCACCTAAGGTAATGGAATGAGTTCTAAGCTGTAAAAGCCTTTTCATGATTTTAAAAATAAATTTCTTTTTTTTTTCTATTTTTTTAAGTAGGCTCCACACCCAGCATGGAACCCAACTTGGGCCTGAACTCATGACTCTGAGATTGAGACCTAAGTTGAGATCAAGACTCAGATGCCTAGCTGACTGAGCCACCCAGGCACCCCAGTGGTCTTAAAAATAAATTTCTAAAAATAAAAAAAATGTTACTACAGTATCAAATTAAGTGCTTTTTCACTTCATAAACAGAAGTTAATTAAAAGGGCAGCATAGGGGCGCCTGGGTGGCTCAGTGGGTTAAGCCGCTGCCTTCGGCTCAGGTCATGATCCCAGGTCCTGGGTTCAAGCCCCGCATCGGGCTTTCTGCTCAGCGGGGAGCCTGCTTCCTCCTCTCTCTCTGCCTGCCTCTCTGCCTACTTGTGATTTCTCTCGGACAAATAAATAAATAAAATCTTTAAAAAAAAAAAATAAAAAAAAAATAAAAGGGCAGCATACTAGGGCACCTGGGTGGCTCAGTCAGTTAAGCATCTGACTTCAACTGGGGCCACGATCTCAGGGTCCTGGGATCAAGCCCCAGGTTGGGCTCCCTGCTCAGCTGGGATTTGTCCTTCTCCTTCTCCCTCTGCCCCTCCCCCCAGTTGTGCTCATATACCCTCTCTCAAATAAAAAAAAAAAAGCACAGCATAGTTACTAAGAATATTCCAGGGGAAAAATCTTAGTAAAAAAAAAAATATAGTAATCATTCATATCTTTTAAAATACTATATATCATTATAGATGTATTACTACTTTAAAAATACATTAAGGTTCATATCCATCACGAAAAAGAGCCTACCATCTTCAATGGCATTTTTGATGGCACGAAGTCCATCCCTTATAGCGTCCTTGATTTGTGTCAGAGTATGCTTGTTCGGTCCTTTAACCAACAAGGTGACAGAACGAGGGTTAACACAGGCCTCAATAAAAGTGAACTTTTCTTCACCCTAGACGATAATCCAAGAAGATATAACTCTAATACTTAATGTTACTATGAAATGAAGACCCAGCTTATAATAATAGAACCCAATCTTCATGTGAATTTTTCTTATCAAACATAACTAAGTATGTGTTAAAAGCAGTTGTTATATTTGAACTCTCAACAAACATTTAGATAAATAAATTGTAAAATCTGTACTGTGGATTATTCAGACACGAAAAGGAAAAGCCTGAATTAAAAGACTTAGTATTTTTTTAAAAAGGGTGGGGCATCTGCCTTTGGCTCAGGTCATGATCTCAAGGTCCTGATATGGAGCCCCACATTGGGCTCTCTGCTCAGCGGGGAGCCTGCTTCCCCCTCTCCCTCTGCCTGCCACTACCCCTGCTTATGCCCTCTGTCAAATAAATAAACAAAATCTTAAAAAATAAAATAAAAAAGCAAAAGGTTTACTCTTCACTTTATAACCACTGTCATCAGAGATACTCACTAAAGCACACTCATGGACAAGACCAGCATGTCCCAAGCAATCTACAGTAAGGTCTTCAAGACAATTCACAGCCATTCCACCACAAGCAAGAGAGAGTCTGAAATGACATAAGGTACCATAGCTTTTGTTATGAAAGCACTAAAGACTTAACTTCTTAAAGATGAAAAGATATCTAACACAGAAGAGAGCATTGTCGCTGTGTTGTATTGTTTTTAAAATCTGAGTTGTTTAAGAAGGGGCACCTGTGTGGCTCAGTTAAGTGGCTGCCTTAGGCTCAGGTCATGATCCCAGGATCCTGGGATTGAGTCCCACATAAGGCTCCCTGCTCAGCAGGGAGTTTGCTTCTCCCTCTGCCCCTCCCTACTCCTCATAGTGTCTCTCTCTCTCTCTCAGATAAATAAATAAAATCTTCAAAAAAAAATCCTCAGTGCTCTGCCCATTCATCCTTTCAAAAAAAAATGTTTTAAGATAAAAACCTTCTTTGTACTTCAACAAAGTTCTGAGGTAGGTTAACAGTCTCGATTTTTTTTAACAGTCTTGATTTTTGACACTTCCATTATTTATTGAAATTAAAGACAGTATTTTGGAATCTGTATGCTATTTTGCTCACAATGTTTACATATAAACTAAAAGGAATACCATGGGATCATTTCAATTTTATCTGTTAAAAAATAGGATACATAGTAATCTGCAAGCTTACCTTTCCATATTTCTTCTTTTTGCTCTGCGAAGAGCTACTATGCCATGTTTTGCAAGAGCATCTAAGGAAAATGGATCAATTCCCTAAAACCAAATTAGCATAAAAGTTATAAGCACATCTTAAGCCAGTAGTTCTCAAATTTTCTGATCTTAGCACAGCTTCATGTTCTTAGAAATTATTAAGAACTCAAAAAGCTTTTATGTGAACTGTATTCTATAGTATTTGTCATACTATAAATTAAAATTGAGAAATGTTTAAAATATTAATCCATTCAAAATAATAAACAACCCATTTTATGTTAACATAAATAACATCTTCAAGTGAAAATTTACCATACTTTCCTAAACAAAAAAAAAATAAGGCTTAAAGTAATGGCACTGTTTCATTTTTGGTATCTTCTTAATGTCTGTCTTAATAGAAGACATCTAGATTCTCAGATCTGCTTCTGCATTCAATTTGGTGTGATATGTTGTTTGGGTTAAAGTATATTATGAAAACTTGGGACTCACACAAATATGTATGGGAAAATGGAGGAATATATTAATAGCCTTTCCAGATACATGTGGATATTCTTCTTTGATACTATATCAAAACTGAATAAATGACAGTTCCTTAAAGGTTAGTGTCAATGTGAAATATGGGACCTATCAATAATCTTTTCTATATTCTTTCATATTAAAATCTATTTGTCTATCTTACACTTTGAATGTATTATCTACCCAGGCATGTCTTTGTTAATCATACATTTTTTACTCATTTAGAAAAAAGTGGTTCACTATGTTAAGCAGAGCTTCCAAATATTGATACATTTCACAGGTATAGAATATCAAAAACATCACACTTGCTAATATCACCACTAATACTATCAGAAAAGTCCTTTAAGCACTGGAAAGCAGTCAAATTCACAGAGGCAGTTACAAGTTTTCCAAAATTTTAATTTTGACTTGAAAGCTCGAATTTATTTGGAACAAACACTGTCAGTTGTTTTCCTTGAAGTGACAGAACCACTTCTTCCTTTTTGAGAGAAGCCTGCCAAATACCTATGTCTAAATAACCACAGTTTTTCTGTCAGTTATTCTTTTTTTTTTTTTTTTAAAGTAATCTCCCTGCCCAAAATGGGGCTTGCACTCACAACCCCAAGATCAAGAGTTGCATGCTCTACTAACTGAGCCAGCCAGGCACCCCTGCCAGTTATTCTTTAAAGTAAAAATGGTGGGACGCCTGGGTGGCTCAGTTGGTTAAGCGGCTGCCTTTGGCTCAGGTCATGATCCCAGCGTCCTCGGATTGAGTCCCGCATCCGGTTCCTTGCTCGGCGGGGAGCCTGCTTCTCCCTCTGCCTCTGCCTGCCACTCTGTCTGCCTGTGCTTGTGCTCTCTCCCTCTCTTTCTCTGACATATAAATAAATAAAATCTTTAAAAAAAAAAAAAAAAAAGTAAAAATGGCATTCCATGAAAAAAGTGGATCAATTATACGTATATACATATGTATATATGTATAATTGTGCAATTATATAATTGCAACTCAATTATACAAGAACTCTCCCTCTAGACAACTATATTTTTTAAAAAATTTCTTTTGAGAGTGTGATCATGAGGGGGGCAGGGGGGCCATGGGGGCTGGGCAGAGGGAGAGGAAAGAGAAACTCCCAAGCAGACTCCATGCGCAACTCAGCGCAGAGCCTGACGCAGGGCTCGATCTCATAACCATGAGATCATGATCTGAGCTGAAACCAAGAGTGGGATGCTTAACAAACTAAGCCATCCAGACACCCTCACAACAACCATATTTTGATATTCAGATTTCACACTCTATCACATAGAATTATAAAAGGATGCATATTTAATCAAAATTTAATTAGTAAGTTTTACCATTTCAAGATATTCTCAAATGGGGGCGTGTGGGTGGCTCAGTCAGTTGGGCGTCCGATTCTTGATTCTGGCTCAGGTCATGATCTCATGGTCATGGGATTGAGCCCCATGTCAGGCTCCGCATTCAGTAGGGAGCCTTCTTGGGATTCTCCCTTTCCCTCCGCCCCTCCCCACCATATACACTCTCTATCACTCCCTCTCAAATAAATAAATAAATAAATCTTTAAAAAAAAAAGATATCTCAAATGAAACTGCCATTTTTTTTTTTTTAAACCTCAAAGACTCCCTGAAATGGTCTTTGGGATTCCTAGGAGTCCACAGACCACACTGCAAGAAATGCTGAAAAACATTTACAAATAGTTAAAATCTGAACCTTCTTTCTCACCTTTTGATTAATGACAACAAATCCTTTATTGGACTGAGCACAGACTCTGTCTTTCAGGTCTATTATTTTTTGTACTCTATCTTCAATAAATTTTCTTTCAGCTTTTACCAACTTTTCTTTCTCTTCAGCAGTCTTATAAAAGAAACCAGAGCTCACCTCTCTAAAAGATTAATAAAAACGAGCGAGTAAAAGTGGAGAAAAAAAGGAGGGAAAGGTAGGAGTTTACACTAAACATTTGGGAGGGAAGAAAGAGATTTAAAAAGACTTTTAGGGAGCACCTGGGTGGTTCAGTTGGTTAAGCATCCAACCCTTAATTTCAGCTCAGATCATGATCTCAGGGTCATGAGACTGAGCCCTGTGCCTGATTAAGATTCATTCTTTCTTTGTCCGGCACCTTGGCCCCTCCCCCACTTGTCTCTAAATCAATTAATTAATCAAAATTAAAAACACTTTTAGAAAATATAGTTTCAACATTTACAAAGAGTAACTGCCACGTACGTTTTTTCATATTCTAGTGACACATTGCAAGTAAGAATAAATGCATCTTCCACTCGCTTCTTCATGTCTGGATGACGAGCACCATGGTCCAAAACTAATCCTCTGATCAATCTATTAAAAATATGTAATGTGTCTTACTTAGAATATACACTCTAAATTTATTATAAAATAAGGATTGTATTCTTAAAATTGTAACAGATCAGGACACACAATATTTCCTTGCACCAACTTTACACATGATTAGTAAAACTGGAAAAGAAAATCCACTTTAACACAGTGTGACTATGAAGTCACAATGAAAAGTCAACCCAGAATTAGTCTCTAAATTATGTGACTCAAACATATGACACAGCTGGTCAAGTAATGAGAGGTAGACACACAATGAGTTTCTTAGGAACATTTGTGCAAAATAATTATATGGAACAACCAAAAATTGTTAACCTAAATGTCTAACAATAGGGCATTGTTCAGCAAATAAATGACCCAACTATTTGGTGGTCATGAAAACTATGTAATGACATGGAAAAATATTTACATAGGTAACTGATAAACACAGAACAACAAACCACCTATAAAGAATGATTATAACTATTCTTTTAAAAAATAAGCACCTTGGTATTGACAAGAAAAAAATGAAAGGAACCTAGAGTAAAGTTCTGCTTGGGCAGTAGGAATACGGATAATTTGGGGGTGGGAGAGGCTCTTTTCCTGTTTTCCAAATTTTCTTTCAAAAGAAAATATTTTTGTAACTTTCAAAACTTCATTTATACCCAATTAGGGAATGATATTTCTCTTTCTTTTATAACCAGTATTTGTTCTACATTAAAGTAAAGAAATAATTTTTAAAATAAACATGATTACAAGGAAGTTTTCAAAATTTTAATCCAACTACTGATTTTAATCTAACTACAAAATTTAATCTAATTACTCCAACTTCTAATTGAAAATGAAGATATTAAAAAAAAAAAAGAAAATGAAGATATTTAGGAAGAAACAAGCAAATGTATGTTCAGTATTCAAGCCTCCACTCTTTCCCTCTTGCTCTCAGCAAATGACCTTGCTGCATTGAGAAAATACAAGCACTGTCCCATCACTACCTCTACCAATCCACCTGCACTTGAACCTGAACCTCTTATTCCTATGACTGAACTGTCCATGCTCCTCTGCATGTATGTACTCTACTCCTTTTCTCCTCTCTGCTCTAGCAATACCCCATCCCCCTACTGCCATCAATTCCTCCTGCCTCCAGGAGCATTCTCATCGGGATACAGATTTGCCATGATAATTCCCATCTTTAAATTTTTTTAAAGATTTTATTTATTTATTTGACAGACAGAGATCACAAGCAGGTAGAGAGGCAGAGAGAGAGGGGGAAGCAGGCTCCGTGCGGAGCAGAGAGCCCAATGTGGGACTCGATCCCAGGACCCTGAGATCATGACCTGAGCCAAAGGCAGAGGTTTAACCCACTGAGCCACCCAGGCGCCCCGATAATTCCCATCTTTAAAACAAAGAATGCTTCTCTTTCAAGTCCTTTCCCATACTTCCTTCTAGCTACTGCCCCATTTCTCTAACCTCTTTGGAATGGTATAAGCTTGTATCCTCACTTCCCTAACCCTTCTCTGTGGAGCCCACCTTCAGGTTGACTTTTAAACCCACTCCTTTACTAAATCAGTTCTCATTAAAGCTACCAAAAACATTAAATGCTTTCCATATCTAAAGGTCATTTTTCAATCCACAACTTGCTCAAAGTTTCAGCAGCATATGACATAGTTAATTATTCTCCCTCTGAAACATTTTCCTTTCTTAGCTTCAGGGCCTTTAACTTCTCTTGGCTTTCCTCTACCAGTAACCACTCCTCAGTCTCCTGTGCTATATCCGTTTGTCTTCTCAATTTCTAAACATCGGAGTTTCCAGGGCTTAACTAAACTTCCTCTTTTTTTTTTTTAAGATTTATATTGAGAGAGTGAGCGAGCGAGAGAGCGAGAGCAAGAGGAGGGGTAGAGGGAGAGTAAACGTCCTCTTCTATCTATATTCACCTCCCAGATAAACTCATTACCTCTCATAGGCTTTAAGTCACCTATACACGGATAACTCCCAAATATATTTCCAGATCAGACCTCTGTTCTAAACTCCAGACACACCTCTCCAACTCCCTACTCAGCATCTCCACATGGATGCCTAATAGGCTTCTAAAACGTAACATTTCCCAAACCAAACTCTTGATTTATTTCCCCAAATATTTTCCTCCAAGTCTTTTCCATCCCAAGAAAAAGTACTTCTCCTTTTCCAGCTGCTCCATGCAAAAACCCAGGAGACATCCTTCACTCTTTATCTGTCGCATTCTGTGTTGAACCATCAATAGATCCTATTGTTTCTTCTTCTAAGTATACCCTGGTCTAAACTGTTTTCATCCCTCTCCTGAATTACAACAGGTTCCTGACTGGCCTCCAAGCTTCTGCCCTTGCACTGGCAGGTGCCCTGCTCCACAGTGCATCCCCTACAACCACCAGCGAGATCCTTCTGAAATATAGACCAAGAACTGCTTTGCCCTCAGCAATGGCAGACCAGTTTGGACCAACGCTACCACCAAAAGCAACTAAAAATTCTGGGTTAAAAACAAAAACCCTGGGGCACATAGGTGGCTCAGTCAGTTAAGCATCCGACTCGAGATTTCAGCTCAGGTCATAATCTCAGCGTTTTGAAATTGAGCCTTGCATCAGGCTGCATGCTGTTGTGTGGGGCCTACATAAGATCTTCTTTCTCCCTCTCCTTCTGCATCTCACCCTCATTGGCTCATGCACACACACACACACACACACACACACACACACTCACTCTCCCAAAAACAAACAAACAAACAAAAACCCTTAAAAACACTGAAGAGCTATAAAACAGTAAAGAAAGCATGAGCTCCAAGGGGTAAGAAAAGAACTGCAGGGGCGCCTGGGTGGCTCAGTGGGTTAAAGCCTCTGCCTTTGGCTCAGGTCATGATCTCAGGTTTCTGGGATTGAGCCCCGCATCGGGCTCTCTGCTAGGCGGGGAGCCTCCTTCCCCCTCCCTCCCTGCCTGCCTCTCTGCCTACTTGTGATCTCTCTCTCTCTGTCAAATAAATAAATAAAATCTTAAAAAAAAAAAAAAGAAAAAAAGACCTGCAGGCACTCTTATCCTAAAGTCATTAGACAATTCAGGAAAATGTAAACTTTGTTTTCAATAACCTCACAATGAGAAGGGGACAGAATTAAAAGCTCAGGGGTCATCCGAGGTAGAGAGTCTAAGAGGAGACACTTTTCCCATTAAGTAGGAACCCCAAAGGGGTACATACTCAGGGTGTAAATCAGAAGGATGAACTATAAGCAAGCAGCCCTTATACCAATTAGCACTTAGAACTAACTAGATAGGAGCGCCTGGGTTGCTCAGTCGGTTAAGCAGCCAACTCTTGATTTTGGCTCAGGTCATGATCTCAGGGTCCTGGGATGGAGGCTTGCATCAGGCTCCACACTCAGCAGGGAGTCTGCCTAAGGATTCTGCCTCTCTCTCTCTCTTTTCCCCTCCCCCTACTCACATGTGTGCACTCACTCACTCTTTCTCTAAAATACATAAATTTTTAGAAAAAAAGAATTAGCTGGATATTAAAAACAAACAAGCAAACAAACAAAAAGCCCTCAAGCTGTAGATTTAATTTAAAGTATTCCCTGAGCTGCCTGGGTAGCTCAGTTGGCTAAGCACCTGGACTCTTGATCTCAGGTCAGATCCTGATCTCAGCGTCATGAGTTCAAGCCCCACAATAGGCTCCATGTGGGGCATGAAAACTACTTAAAAAAAAAATAAAAATAAAAAATAAAGTATTTCCAGGGCAACAAATTCAAACTCTCTGCGCAAAAATGGACCTTCATCCTAGGTCTCAAATTATTTCTACAAATACTTTTTTCAAACACAATGAATGGCACATACAGAAACAAAACACATTTAGGGAGAACCAGCAAAATATAATAAACACCAGAAACAGACAAGTCAAAACTTCAAATGTTGTAATTATCAGTTATGAACTATATGTTTAAAAACATAGAAGGCAGTCTTACAAAGATCTGCAGGGAATAGGACACCATAAAAAGTACCATGGCAGGGTGCCTGGGTGGCTCAGTGGGTTGGAGCCTCTGCCTTCGGCTCAGGTCATGATCCCGGCATCCTGGGATCGAGCCCCGCATCGGGCTTTTGGCTCTGCGGAGAGCCTGCTTCCTCCTCTCTCTGCCTGCCTCCCTGCCTGCTTATGATCTCTGTCTGTGTCAAATAAATAAATAAAATCTTTAAAAAAAAAAAAAAAGTACCATGGCAGATTTAAGAAAAAAACAAATAAAACATCAAGAAATAGGTAAATAAAGATGCCCACACATACATATATATTAAAATAAATAAAGTATTTTAAAATGAAATAATGATTATCTGGATTGGCTTCAAAATAATCCAGGTTTGGGACAAGGAGGGAGGGAGGGGAAAAGGGCATATAAGGGAAATAAAAGGAAAAATACGATACGTTGAAAATTGAAAGATGAGTACAGGTGTATAGGAGTCCACTATTCTTTTCTTTCTACTTTTATATATGTTTAGAATTTTCCATAATAAGACATTTAAAATTCATTAAGTCCAAAATCAACAAGACGTCACATACTCTGAGGTCCTACATATTCAAGCAATTGTCTGGCTTTCTTTCCTCTCCGACTTCATCTCCTACTCCTTTTTCCTCTTCCTGTGCTCCAGGCACACAAACATCCCAGCACACTTGTGTGCCTCAGGGCCTTTTCAACCGTCACTCCCTTGACTCAGAACACTCTTCCCCCAGATGTGCACATGGCTATTCCTTACTTCTTCGGACACCTCTTAGCTCTCTATCTTCCTACTATGAGGACCTTCCCTAAACATTCTAAAATCACACACAAGCTCTCACATAGTCACTCTATTTTCTTCAAGCTTTTATTATCACTTAGGTATTTATTACCTCCCTCAACTTGAAACAAAATCTTCTTGGAGAAAGAAATTCTGTTTTGTTTACTCTTTATCCCTAGCACTCAAAATAATGACTAGCTTGGGGTAAGTATTCAATTAATATATGCTGAATTAATAGACTGATGTTGAATAAAAGTAAGGAAATTAATGAAAAAACATCTGAACTAAACCAAATATTCTAGAATCTATGTATTGTCAAAGTTTATGTAACTTACTTTGTATCTGTTTCTGACTGATGCTTCATCTCCATGATTTCTATCATGAAGAGATCGATAGGATAACCCGGTCTTCTAACAGCTAAAACAGAATCCACCACAGCCTGAAAGAGAAGTAAATGAGAACAGTAATTCCTATTCTATTAAAAGAAATCACTGGCCTAAGTAATCACCAGACTAAGCAGATAAAAGGCTTCAGACCTCAAAATACAGAGCAAAGCCAAAAAGGGCCACTTTGTCATGGACACCAGTAATAACCAATGCCAATGGATACCTTAGAACCTAAAGGAACTTCACAGATCATCAGGCCCAAATCCTTCATTTTACAGATAAGTAAACTCTGATAAAACTTTAAGTTACAGTCTTAGGGGTACCTGAGTGGTTCAGTTGGTAAAACATCCAACCCTTGATTTTAGTTCAGATCATGATCTCAGGGTCATGGGATCGAGCCCCACATTGGGCTCTGCACTGGACGTGAAGCCTACCTGGAATTTTCTCTTCCTCTCCTTCTGCCCCTCCCCACACCCCACCCCCATCAGCTCACACTTTTTCTCCAAAAAAAAAAAAAAAGAAGAAGAAGAAGAACTTAGAGTCTTAAAACGGGTCTAAAAGGCAGTAGCAGGGGCGCTACTGCCTTTGGCTTGGGTCCTGATCTCAAATAAATAAATAAAATCTTTAAAAAAAATAAAAAATAAAAGCCGAAGACAGAGGCTTAACCCACTGAGTCACCCAGGTGTCCCTAGAATTCAGTTCTTTTCAACTGCCAAGCTACTACTCTTTCTATTACCAACACTACTTAAACTTTCCCACCAAAGAACATATTAATGGAAAAGAAGGAAATGTAATGTAAGGTAAGAGCTAAAATTTGCTGGCTTTACAAGCCGGAAATTTCTAAGGTTTTGTGTTTTATCATTAAAGGTTTCCACATCATGCTATAATATACATGTTTGTTTTAATGTGAAAGTAATGCTTTTCCCCAAAACAGCAAAGTAAAATTGAGACTCTAGAAAGACCTATCTCACTTATTCTGCCACATATGCCCAGGGATATACAATTTGAGAAGCATGGTACAATACATCCTACTGTTTAGCTCAGAAAGTAATTGGAAGGGGCACCTGGGTGGCTCAGTGGGTTAAAGCCTCTGCCTTCAGCTCAAGTCATGATCCCAGAGTCCTGGGATCGAGTCCAGCATCGGGTTCTCTGCTTAGGTGGGAACCTGCTTCCTCCTCTCTCTCTCTGCCTGCCTCTCTGCCTACTTGTAATCTCTGTCTGTCAAATAAATAAATAAAACCTTTAAAAAATAAAAATAAAAAAAGAAATAGGAAAACAACTAATTACAGAAATTAAGTACTATAGTATAACCATCCTAAAATATAAATAAAGCAAAAAACTATACCCTTGAAAACTTTACCTGAGTTAACATGATATTTGGTCTTAGAGCCTAATAGGGAATAATGACAAAAACCACTGAATAATGAGAATATCAGTGTTTCCAGAACTCCAAAAGAGAATGGGGGCCCTAACCAGATAAAATGAAGATTCTGGGTCACTTGATATATGTACTCCAACAAGACTCCAACTGCAGTCTTTATTTGAACTCTGTTGAGCAAGAAATTGTCTGATCTTAATCTCATTTTCCAAGTAGGTTTTCCTATTGGTTCCAATCTATTTGTCATTTATATCTCTCAAAGTAAATTAGCAAGAAAGCATTCTGATTTATATATCAATGTCTTGTGATTTGGGTTATGAATTCATCATTCCTGATGAAGCAATATATTCAAGTTTCAAAAAATACAAAGCTGAGGAACAATGATGATATCAAACTATAGCCACCTGATATAAGTCTTCCCAAAATACCCAGTCTTGTCTTTATATTACATATATTTTACCTTTGAAGTAAACAAAACAAATATGCATTTCCCAGATGTGAATATTATCTATCTATTACCTATCTATAGAATAATATTTATCTATTGATATTATCTATTAATCATGGTTCATTAAAGTGGTAAGCTTAACCAATTCCCTTTGTGTCTCCTCACATAATAAATATGGACCTCTGGGTTTAAGAGACCAGTACGTCATCCCAATGGCACCCACAAGGGACGATCCGCAGGCAGCCACTGTGGTAATCCACAGGCAGTAACGTTCATGGTAATTTAAAGGCTTATTATGACACTTTTGAAAAATTTCACATACTGTTCTGACCAATCAAGTCTAGTCTCCAGGTAGGTCTATAAATGTTTGTCTTCCATATTTCATTTCACATACAAAAGAACCATATGCAGTGGTTGATTATCTTATAGAATAAAATACCATCGCACATTAGTCTATACTCATTCTGAAAGCAATTAGTCACATACCTCTATTAGCACATCAGCCAATTCAGCATGAACTTTAGTTTGCAGAGATGTTCTAGCTACATCTAAGAGGATTTCTCTTTTCATCTCTTTGTTAATTTTAACTTCTTCCAAAACTTCAAGTGCTTTTATCTTAGCAGCCTCAAATCCTTCAGCTATTATTCTAGGGTGCAGGCCCTATTACATCAACATAAAACTAAAAATTATAAAGTCAGTCATCCAAAGTAAAAGTAACCATCTTCCCTTATTAACAGGTATATCCAGAAAAAGTAATATTACCCACATCAATGCCATTAATATGGGTATGTATATAATTTATAAAAGTAATTTTTCAGTGCTTCATATTGAAAATAATCTCAGACTTAGAGAAAAATTGTAAGTCCAGTACAAAAAACTACAAAAGTCCTCTTTATTTCCAAATATTGGAACGTTGCCATGTGGTACTTTTCTGTATGGGCACAAAAGAAAAGAGAGGCTCCTTTTAATGTGGAGGAAAAGAACCAGCACTGATTTGGAGAAATGTACAGACAGACATCACCTTCACCAAATGTTAACATCACAATAATGGGACAAATAGGCATCACGTGCCTCCTGATACGATGCATTAAGAATACTAAAGCATGTCCATGGTATTCATGCCAAAAGTTTGTAACCAGAGTCTAATTACAATAAAATAGTCAAATCCAAATTGAGGACTTTCTGCAAAATAACTGGCCTATATTCTAAAAGTAGCAATGTAAAACACAAAACACAGCTCAGGATTATTCCAATTTAAAGGAAACCAAAGGGATATGACAACTGAATGCAATGGATGAGCCCAGATATTTTTCTGCTATAAAGGACACTGTTGCGACAGATGATAAAACTGGAATAAAATCTGTAGGTTATACTACTGTATCAGTGTGTCAATGTTAATATTAATTTCCTGTTTTTGATCACTATTCTGTGATTATATAAGAGAATATCCTGGTTTTAAGAAATATATACTAAAGGGGCACCTGGGTGGCTCAGTGAGTTAAAGCCTCTGCCTTCGGCTCAGGTCATGGTCCCAGGGTCCTGGGATTGAGCCCCGCATCGGGCTCTCTGCTCAGCGGGGAGCCTGCTTCTTCCTCCTCTCTCTCTCTCTCTCTCTCTCTGCCTGCCTGTCTGCCTACTTGTGATCTCTGTCAAATAAATAAATAAAATCTTTTAAACTTGCAGAGCCTGACTCTAGAGCATGATTATGAACCACTTTCAAAACATTACCTCAGTCTAGGATCTCACACCTTCTCGCCTAGACTACTATGATCTTCCAGTATTGTCTCCCTTAAAACTGTCACCCAAATTTTTAAAATGCCAATCTGACTGCATCAGTCATTAACACATAAACATGAACATTCTTCTTGGTTAGCATACTACATGCCCTCTGTGATCTGGCTCCCACCTACTTCTCCAGGCTTTCATTACTGTCCATATCACTTTATTTTTTTAACTGTATTTATTTATTTGAGAGAGAACACACATGACAGGGGCAGAGAGAGAGGGAGAAGCAGGCTCCCCGCGGAGCAGGGAGCCAGATGACCAACTGAGCCACCCAGGAGCCCCTACCCTTATCACTTTAAACTTTGCCAATACCATAGTGTTTGTGGCTTTACACACATACCACATTGCTTCTCCTCTCTGTGCCTCTGCTCATGTTGTTCCTTCTGCCTGGAATGTCATTCTCCTTACCCCTCAGTCTTTCCTCTGGCTCACTCCCTCTCATCCTGAAGATTTAACCCAGGTCTTATTACTTCCTCCAGGAAGTGCTTCCTAATTCAGGCTAGTTTAGGATATCCCTCCCTCCTCAGTGTTTCTATCATATTTTGTGCCTAGTTCTATCACTATACTGCCACAGATTTATAATTACATCAGTGTCTGTCAGCATCTCCCCTTTCTTAAACTTCTTCCTCCTTAACAAAACCCTCATTTTGTTTAGGTTATCCCTTCCTCCAGTCTTCAGAGGAAGCTACCCTCTCTAGATAGCTCAAAGGGTAGATCTTGATTAGATTAAGTCAATTCCAACAGGATGGACACAGATCAAAGTTGACCCAATCATATAAAGAAAGGACTTGGGGCACCTGGGTGGCTCAGTGGGTTAAGCCTCTGCCTTCGGCTCAGGTCCATGATCTTGGGATCCTGGGATCGAGCCCCACATTGGGCTCTCTGCTCAGTGGGGAGCCTGCTTCCCCCACTCTCTCTGCCTGCTGCTCTGCCTATTTGTGATCTGTGTCAAATGAATAAATTTTTTTTTTTAAAGGATTTATAGGGGCGCCTGGGTGGCTCAGTGGGTTAGGCCTCTGCCTTCGGCTCAGGTCATGATCTCGGGGTCCTGGGATAGAGCCCTGCATCGGGCTCTCTGCTCCGCTGGGAGCCTGCTTCCTCCTCTCTCTCTCTGCCTGCCTCTCTGCCTACTTGTGATCTCTGTTTGTCAAATAAATAAAATCTTTTTTAAAAAAGGGAGAAAAAAAGGACTTATATTCCATAATTGGGCAAATGGTTCTTTCTTGTGCTCTCCTGCTAAGTGTTACTAAAGGAAGCAGGTATTCCTAATTTCCTCAGACAGTCTTATAATCAGGATGGAAATAAGCTTTATCATGAAACAGCATTGTAAATGGAGGCACTAAGAGACAGAAAGAACCAGAGTACTTGATAACTAATAGAATTTTTTAATCAACTACCTTGGATGTTCTGTCATGGGAGATAATTTATTGTTTAAATCATTTTTAGTCAAATTTCTACTGCTTAAAGCCAAAAGAATCCTAAAAGAGGTACGTTGCAGGTACTGAATTATTAAACAATTCCCAATTCTAAGTAAATGCAAAGAAGTAATAATTCTAGCACTTTGACCAAGTAATGCTTTGTTGAAATGGACCTTGAAAGAATGGAAACTTTTAAACACTTAATCAGAGAAGACAGATAAGTAATGCCAAGAAAAGAATACAGATTGAACAAAGCACTGAGGTAGAAATGTGTTATAGTGATTTTAAAGGCTAGGGAGTAGCATGGAGGAGTCTCGCTAGAGTAGACGGTTTATAAGGAAAATAAATCTAGAAAGGTAAATTCACAATGTGAAAACCTTCAATTATTTTTCTCCAGTTATTTTTTTTAAAGGTGCATAATTTGGCTTCAACTTTATCAGTGATGTTTTCTTTTTTAGGCCATTATTCATGGGTAGATGGCTAATTTCTTACCTTCTTATCTATCTTAAACACTTCATTTTAAAAAGTGGGATATAATTCCAATGAAAGGCATTATTTTGAAAAAAAAATGCATGATTATTTCCATTTATAATTGTCCAAAAGTATCTTGATAAAAATTACTTTTGCCCTCTAAAATTAAAACATTTTACTAGTGAAACAATTCCTCATTCAAAATAAAATATCACATGAATGTGAATTCTGTAAAATGCTAATACCTCAGAAATGTAAAGATCAGCTTGTTTTAGTAACTCTCCAATAATTAGAACATTGGAAGTAGTACCATCTCCTGTAATGTCATCCTGGGCTGTTGCTACCTTTGCTATCAGAGAAGCTGTTGGGTGTTGAATTTGCTGGAAAAAGTAAGCAACAAATTAAGAGAATGAGAGTTAAAAAAAAAAAAAAATAGTCCAATGAAAACTAGATAACCTAAAGACCAATAATAAAATTAAGAAATAAGCTTCATTCTACAAGTTCACAAATTCTTATTATCAATACTTAATAAATGTCATTACCAAATTTTTTAAATTGAGAACTAATGAGGTTTGAACATTTTGTAAGTCTTTGCTTTGAATGCAATGACGTTTCCAAAATAAGATCAAATTCTTCAATCTCTAAGACGAATATATTTACTAAAATAGCAAAGGATTTTTTTTTATATTTTCATATTACAAAGAACACAATTCAGTGCCTTTAAAAGATGTAACTAATTTGGAAGTATCCCTAAGCTATTACTTGGACTTTATAAAGATTTCAAAACAATCAAAACCATCTTTTATTAAGGTCTAATCCAACAAGTATTACTAACTGCAGTATTTAACTGACAGCTTTGGTTTAAACATCACAGTTTGGGGCTGCCTGGGTGACTCAGTCAGTTGAGCACCTGCTTTAGGCTCAAGGTCATGATCCCAGCATCCTGTCACATATCGAGTCACACATCGGATTCCTTGCTCAGAGGGGAGCCTGCTTCTCTCTCTGCCCCTCCCTCAGCTTAGGTGCTCTCACTCTCTTGTCTCTCAAATAAGTGGATAAAATCTTTAAAAAAAAAAAAAGTGGATAAAAATCTTTTAAAAAATAAATAAATAAAGGGGTGCCTGGGTGGCTCGGTCTTTAAGCATCTGCCTTTGGCTCAGGTAATGATCCCAGAATCCTGGGATCAAGCCCCGCATCAGGCTCCCTGCTCAGCAGGAAGCCGGCTTCTCCCTCTCCCAACTCGCCCAGTTTGTGTTTCCTCTCTCGCTATATCTCGCTCTGTCAAATAAATAAATATATATACATATATATATATATATATATATGCAATCTGTACTATGTTCTAGGCTTGTTAAGATTTATTGAAGTCAGCAATATCAGCTCACCATCTCATGGAGCAGCACATTGCCATCTTTGGTGAGTTTGATGTCACCCGCACCAGAAACAAGCCTGTTCAGAAAATAGTGATATTATTCACCTCATATGGCAAGGGTTAAGCAAGACATTCTCAGTTCTTGCCACTCACCATCCTTAGTATAAGGAACTGAGCTTCAAAACTTCCAAGTGCCATGGGGCAACACCATGGTAATCACCACCATGTGCAGCCTACAGAATCACTTCCCATATGGACCACCATGATGATTTCATTCCAAATGGAGCATTTACAAGTTTAAGAGGAACTGATGAGTTATGAACAGAAGTTTAGTCAAAGAATACTTGGAAGCCTGTAAACAACAAAACTATAAATTTCCTGCAGGTTTTTTATTTTGGTACAATGTACCATTCATTCACTCAACCTAGTTTCTTCCCTCACCCCTCACATTTATTAGATCATCAAGTTCTGATAATTCCACAACCTAAGTATTTCTTCCATCTAGTCCCTCCTCTCCGTGTCCACTGTCATCAACATCTCTAGCCTGGACTACTTAGACAGCATCCTGGTATCTCTGAATTTGAATCTACCCCACACACTATATTTATTTCTAAAAAGTAGTGTGACGCAATTAGCTACCTGATCAAAAATCTTTCCATGAGTTTTTATCTTCTCCATCACCTTCAAGGTAAAATCCGGATTATTTAGCAAGGATGACGTTGTTCACCTTTCCCAGTCTGGCTTATGTCTACTTTTCCTGCTGCATCTACCAAATGAGATCTTGTGGGAAAATCTTGTGGTTCCCTTAATGCAGCATGCTTGGTTTTATTTCTGTTGGATTTACACCAGTGGGCTTTCTTGTTCCTGAAGTTACTACAGAAGGCCTTTTTACTCCCTTCTCCAACTGGTGAACTCTAACTTACCTTTCAAGACTCTGATCAAAAACCTGTTATCTGAGAGGCTTCTCCTTCTCCCTACTCCCATCAGTAATTAGTCCCTTTCCTCCATATAATCATCTTCACCATTTCTATTTTCCCAGCACCCAAATAGCATACAAGCGCCTTCTTCTACCGTTAATTCTGCTCATTCCTCTTAGAATGTACTCCTCCTCTTAGACATTTTAGCGTTCTTTTCCTCACTCTTCTAAAAAAAAATAGTGATGCTAAGTAAATATACGCCGAAGGGGTAAATAAAAAGGAAGAAGCGTAGGCACAGAGTGTGCAAGTAACTTGCCTAACGATGCACAGCTAGAAGGGAACTTGGCTTTGAACCCATGCCTGCCGGGCTCCAAGACCTGGGTGCCCTTACCGCTACAACATGGGGCCGAAAAAAACCCAAACTAAGGGCATGTAGTCCCAAAGAGCAGGAGAGTTAAATGGCTCATGCTTCTCAAGGCACACGAGATGAACTGACTTGCAACTGCACATGAACTTTAACACAAGTGAAAGAGTGAGGGTGTACAAGCTTCACTCGGGGCCCTTTCCTCGGGAGGCTGTCCTCCCGCCCCGGGCCAGGGGTGACCTCCGTACAGGAATGACAACGAAGGTATCCCGTCGCTCTAGGTTCTTCGCGGAACGTCTGCCTCAGAGCGCGCCGCGACACCCAACAAACCCCCAGCCCTAACCGCCGTTCCAACCGCCGGGCCATCTCACATTTTCATGGTGCCCTTAGGCCCCAAGTTGGTACGCAGCACATCCTGCAGCCCTCGGGCGGCACATATATTGACAGCCAAGGCCGCCTGGGCCCGCGCCACCTCGGCCTTGCAGTTTACCGCCTTTATCGCAGCCATAGCAGCGTCGAGCGTGCGGCCCGGCAACTAAAAACAGCCTCAGCCCGGATCTCGTGAGAAATCCCAGCGCCGCCGCCCGCCTTCCGGAGTCTCAGCCAATCCTCGCCGAGACAGGAAATGACGTTACCAGACCTCGCCCGTACGGAAGCCAGAGTCGCCTGGGGTCCCGACGCCGAGATGGCGTCCTCTGCCTCAGCTCGCACTCCGGCGGGGAAGCGAGTGGTGAATCAGGACGAACTGCGGCGCTTGATGAAGGAGAAGCAGCGTCTGAGCACCAATCGGAAACGCATAGAATCTCCATTTGCGAAGTACAACCGTTTGGGGCAGCTGAGCTGTGCCCTGTGTAACACCCCGGTGAAGAGCGAGCTCCTGTGGCAGACCCACGTCCTGGGAAAGCAGCACCGTGAGAAAGTTGCCGAGCTCAAAGGCGCGAAGGAAGCCACCCAGGGTCCGTCCTCCAGCGCCGTGCCCCCGTCAGCCAAGAGGAAGGTGCCGGATGCGGATGGCCAAGATGCCAAAAGACCCAAGGCCTCCCCGCTGCCTCAGGTACAGCCCTCCACATCCGCTTTGCCCACCAACTCTGACAGAGCAGGGAAGGACTCGGCCAGAGCGACCCTCAGTAAGGCCTCGGGACTCGGTTTACTCCCTGATTATGAAGATGAGGAAGAGGAGGAGGAGGAAGAGGGAGGAGATGGGAAAAGAGGGGACACCAGCAAGCAGCCGCCCGACTCACAGGGCAAGGAACCCTCGCTTTCCTCCTCGAGAGAGGCAACAAGTATGCTGCCAAGCGGTTTCTCGGATACAAATCCTCCCAAAGCCCCTTTAATTCCTCATTCGGGGTCAATTGAGAAGGCAGAAATACATGAAAAAGTCGTGGAAAGGCGAGAAAACACAGCGGAAGCATTACCGGAAGGCTTTTTTGACGACCCTGAGATAGATGCTAGGGTACGAAAGGTTGATGCCCCAAAGGATCAGATGGACAAAGAGTGGGACGAATTTCAAAAGGCCATGAGACAGGTCAATACTATTTCCGAAGCTATAGTTGCTGAAGAGGATGAGGAGGGACGGTTGGACCGGCAAATTGGGGAGATCGATGAGCAGATAGAATGTTACCGTCGGGTGGAAAAGCTTCGGAATCGCCAGGATGAAATAAAAAATAAGCTTAAAGAGGTTCTGACTATAAAAGAACTTCAGAAAAAGGAAGAGGAGAATGTTGACAGCGATGATGAGGGAGAATTACAAGATTTGTTGTCTCAGGATTGGAGGGTAAAGGGGGCTTTGTTATAGGGTTTCAAAGACCCAGGACTTTCATACCCTCAGCAACAGTACCAAAAGTGCTGTCTCTGGATAGGATACTGGTTACTTCATGCCTCGAGATTTGATAACCTAACTGGGTTGTTGAGATACAATGAACCTGTGAAGATAGCACTTTTGAAAATTGGTGTAAAATATTTTTGAGATATAAAGTTGTTTTTGAAATTTTTGGTCTACTATATACTAAAATGTCAACTTTTTCACACATTTACTTAAGTGTATAATTTTGAATTGTCAAATCTGTAAGCTGTAAGTATTATACATAGTTAAATATATATTTACCTAAGTAATTCTGTTTTGAAATTTATGAAAAAGTAGAAGCCAAGCCAACAGACAAGCTTTTAGATGAATACCAAGTGTGGTATTTGGGACACATGTGGCTTTTTCTTTTCTAATCCCCTAAATGAACTCCAGAGTGTTTTTCAGGAAGGTGGGGGAGGGGAGGTTGTTTTGTTTTTATGAATACTATTCGCAAACACTCTTTTTCGTAATACGAATTCGTAATTTGAAATTCGTAATTCAAAATACTATTCGTAAGTCATTCGGGGTAAATCAGTTCTCTGAGTAGTCTGCTCTGTTTCAAAAACATGCACTAGGAGAATGGATAGATCGATTGATCTCCCAAATGTTTCTCTTGATTAAACCAATGATTCTTGGATGAGGTGCACATGGAGAACACCCACCAAGCTTTTGAAAACATGCATATGAATCACCTTGGAGCTTTTAAAAACCTGTGTGCCCAAGGCCTAAGGTTAAAGATTTCAGTAAATCTGGAGTGGGGCTCAGGCATCTGTTCAGTTTGAAATCTTCCCAGGTTATTCTAATATACACCAAAGTTGGAGAGCAATGTGGCCCTAAATCCAGAACCCATTTATATTTTTTCAGGCTTTGTTTTTTTGAAATACCATATGCCATAATTTGCCATCTATTGTATGAAAGAAACACTACCTTCTATTTAGATTTCATCCAGTGTTAAATTTTATTACATTTTGTAGTAAGTTAGGGTTCAGAGTTTCTGTCCATTGTTGGGAGGATAAGTTGTTTTCTCAAGGAATAACAATTAGCTTGTTCCTATCACTGATTGTTTAAATCACTCCTTTTCCCTTTATTGATAGAGGTATTCAAATGAAAATGGAACTAACAATGTTCCAGCAGTAGAAATGCATACAGCATACTCAAATGAAAGTCAGTAGCAATAATAATAGCTAAAACATACAGCTTTTACAATACATGACAGGTGTGGTTCTAAGTGCTTTACATAAACCAAGTCTAGTTGCTCTAAAGTCCAGGTTTTATGGAGAATAGTATCAAGATATAAGGTATGAAAAAACCTCGCTTGGATGCTAAATGAAGGAATTCTCTCTGTCAGCAATGTAGGAAAAGTGGAAGTTTTAGAGCAAAAAATTGTATTTGCAAAAAAGATTATGGAAGATGATTTTAGTTGCAGTTTATAAAATGAATGTGGATGGGGAGAAATAAGCTGGGAGACTACTTGGAAACTGATTTTAAAAGCAAGGTGAGCAAGATTTTTATTAGTTATGGACTGAGAGTAAAGGAATGAAGTTGAAAAATTTTCACAGAAAGGGCCAATATTTTAGTGATTAGACATAGAAGAAAAACAGGAGGGATAAAGATGAAATTCAAGGGCTTGGGAGTTTTTAGCGTGGGTCCCTAAAGAAGTTATCTAACACGTATTGAGCATATTGACTATCTTGTGGTCTTTGGCAGAAAGTCTTTTCTTGAGCTGTCAGCTGACTGGTAATAGAAGTTTCAGTATGGTAGCAGATTTACCTACCTTAAATGTATAAACTCACATGTACTCACATTTTTCTATCATCCATTCCTTTATTATTTTAGAATGAGAAAATGCAAAGGTGGGCTTGAGTAGTAGGCCTTGTTTTACATTGGCTTAAGAGGATAGGCCAATGATCTAGCAGAGAACGGTCCATTTTAAAAATACAATGCAAGCCTCATGTATATTTTCTTTTCCCAGAAGCCACATGAAAAAGTAAAAAAATATGAAATTCGCTATAATGTAATTTATTTTATCCAATATATCCAAAATATTCACTTTTCAATATATAATCAATATTTAAATATCATTAATGAAATATTTTATATCAGGGGTTCTAGATTTCTGAAATCTGGGTGTATCTGACATAGCACATAGCACATCTCAATTTGGACTGGCTACAGTTCAAGTACTAGCTATATGTGGCTTACAATAAAGGACAGTGCAGACTTAAAGAGAAAGTTGTGCAGGAGGAAAAATAAAACACACAGGAGGTAGTGAGCAGGCCAGTTTAGAGCAGAAGGTTTATTCCTGACAACAGTGGAAGCTATGATTAGAAAGATAGATTATGAACTGTTGTAGAAGGTCTTGAACGCCATGCTCTAAGAAGTTGGAACTTTAACAATTGAGTACCCTTGAGGTTGTTGGGTCCTTAATTGTAACACAAAGAGTTTAAGGAATGCCAGATATGTTACTATACCTATAAACAGCCCTGGGTTTTTAGGAGGGACAGAAAGCTCTGTTCCCAATGCTCTGTATCCCAGAGAATGAATGGTGAGGCCTCAAACAAAATCAAGGAAATTCTTGTTGGATCTTCAATCAATGTAAACAGCTACAGGGGTTAGTGAGAACTTCCTGATCGTCCACACAATGGAGAGCTCCTTTATACCTCTGAGCTGGTTCAGATAGTTTTCACCATTAGGCTGTGAATCCACCAACATTCCCAAATTCTGACTTAGTCCCATGGATTTCTTCCAGTCTTTTCTTTTTAGAGAACCCCTTCATTTAGCCAACAATGTATTAGAGTTACTGTAAATGCTAGAAAGGTAATCCTCTCACCCATTCACTTACAATTTAATGTAGCTCCCCTAGCTGGAGGGGGAGAAAACACTGAACTAGCCTTGAAATATAAATTTGCCCAGTGGCTTACAACTTGGAAAATGCTTTCATATTTGTATTTCCTTTAATGAAGATAGTAATGACTGCTTTTTACACACCAGGAAACAGGAGGCTGTGGAATTAAAATTCCAGGAGAAAAATTAACTTGGGCCTAAAATCTTTAGTATAAACAGTCACTAGATTAGCATGGAGCAAGAGGAATAACAGGGAAATTGACAAGAGAAAAGAGAAGACATGGGTTCAAGTTCCCACTCTACATTTTAATGGTTAGTGATCTCGGGGAAGTCAATCTCTTAACCTTAGTGCACCCTACTACCAAGTGATGATAATGTAGGGAGCGCCTGGGGGGCTTAGTCTTTAAGTGCCTGCCTTCGGCTCAGATCATGATCCCAGGGTCCTGGGATCGAGTCCCACATTGGGCTCCTTGCTTGGCAGGGAACCTGCTTCTCCCTGTCACTCTTATGCTGTGCTCTCTGCACCCTCCCCCCACCTCTCTCTCTCTCTCAAATAAAATCTTAAAAAAAAAAAAAAAATGGGGCACCTGGGTGGCCCAGTGGGTTAAGGCCTCTGCCTTCGGCTCAAGTCATGATCCCAGGGTCCTCGGATGAAGCCCCACATCGGGCTTTCTGCTCGGCAGGGAGCCTGCTTCCCCCTCTCTATCTGCCTGCATCTCTGCCTACTTGTGATCTCTGTCTGTCAAGTAAATAAAATCTTTAGGGGCAGGTGCCTGGGTGGCTCAGTGGGTTAAAGCCTCTGCCTTCGACTCAGGTCATGATCCTGGGATCGAGCCCCACATCAGGCTCTCTGCTCAGCGGGGAGCCTGCTTCCCCCTCTCTGCCT